AACAGGCAGGTCCTCCCCTGGTGGCCTTCACTCCCAGGTGAGCTCATCTTGCCCAATACCACATGTTCACCGAAGAATCCAAACTTGACAGCCCCCCAGGAGCCCTCCAGACATCTCTTCTCAGTCTCACAGCCACGTCCAGAGCTGAGCTCACCTCCTGGCCCACACCCTCCTCTTCCGGTCTCCCCAGTCAACGGCAGCCACAGCCCTCCTGTTGCTCCAGCTAAAACCCCGGAGTACCCCCTTTGGCCTGTTCTTTCTGCATCCAGCCCACCAGCAAACACTCTGGGCTCCACCTTAAAGAAAGCCCAAACCCAACCACTGCTCCCACCCAGGTCCAGCATTACCACCGGTCGCCCTGCTCCCATCTTCGGCCCTTGGTCTGTTTACCACACGGAGGCCCAAGGGATTCTGTTAACACCTGAGTTAGCCCCTAACCTCCTCTGCCCAGAGCCCTCTGATGATCAAAGCCCTCATCAAGCCCACAGAGCACCATTTGTGCGATGCCACTGTGCAGTGGACAACCTGCCTGACCTTACAGGGCACCCCTGTGCATGATCTCTGTGAATGCACAGAATATAAACACAGCCGTATCCCCGTGGTACAGATGAGAAACTGGAGGCTCACAGAGGAGAAACAAGTGCCCGCCCAGGGTCCCACACCCCCCTGCCTCCTAGCTCACCTCGAAGTAGGTGAAAGTGATCTGGATACAGAAGCTTAAAGCCGAAAAGGGTGAGGATCACTTCTACAGAGAAGGAACCACGGTCCACAAAGTCGCCATTAAATATCTGCCCTGCTAAGGAAAACAAAGGAAGGGGGCTGCTCCTCCAGTCTCTCCACTCCCCATGGCTCCTGTCAGCACCTCCCTAGGAGCGAGGATGTCAGCAGGGCTCGGGGGATTGGGGCTTTTGTCTCTTTCCTTGCTGTGTGGCTCTGGCCCAGAAGCTTGGCCTCTCTGAGCCTCAGCAGGATGTACTGATGTCCCCAGCCTCACCTGCTTCTCAGGGAAACTGATGGTGGAGGGGGAGACACCAGGTGCTCAGCCTGTTTCAGCTCTCCCCCAAATATAGGCCCAAAGCCAAAGGGGAAATGGGACACAGACCCTCCCACCCAACACTGCACAGGCCTGGTGGATCTAACAGTGGCCATTTATCAAGCAATTATAATAACACCAGCAAATACTGACATAGCACTAACTGGGCCACTGAACACTTCACATGTATTAACTCACTTACTCCTCTCAATAACCCGAGGAGGTAGGCCCTATTATTATCCCCGTTTTGCAAATGAGGAAACTGAGGCACTGAGAGGTCAAGTAACCTGCTACAGGTACACAGCTGGGAAGTGGCAAAGCCAAGAGGGAACCCAGGTGTGGGCAGTGCCAGGTGCTGCTGTATAGGGTCTTGCAGCAGCCCCATTTCAAGATGAAGAGAAGTTGGGGACCTGAGAGACTGTGCCACCTTGCCCTGGTCATACAGCATGTGGGGACTGGCCCTGGTCTGTCTGCTCCCAGAGCCTAGAGCACAAGGCCGGCCTGTGGTGCACCCACATCCTGGTGCCTNGGGGCTGGGGGACAGAGAAGGGCTGGGCAGAGAGAAGAGAAAGCGGGGGCTGGGGGGAGGAAACGAGGGAGAAGAGACCCGGAGGCCGGATGGCAGAAAGGCTGAGAGAAGAGGGAGACAGAGGCCATGACAGACACTGACGGAGACAGTCGAGTGAGGCACAGAGGACAGGAGTGGGAGAGAGGTCTTCAGATGAAAGTGGGGGCCCAGACGGGAGGGTTGTGAGGGGGAGACAGGACGGGCAGGGGCACACACAGCCCCATGGAAGCAGGACTCTTGCCAAGACCTGGGCTCCAATCTGACCAAGCCCTGGCTCTCACCACCAGTTAACAGGGGACAGAGGAACATGGTGACCGGCCCCGAGGACAGAATCCACCTGGTCCAGAGCATAACCAATTTGGCAAGACAAGGGACCTGTCTGGTTTCTTCAACCAAAAAATGGCAAGGGACAGGGGACGCGAAGACAGGGTGATTGAAAATGTGGTCCTTGTTTGGGTCTTGCTTGGAAACCAACTGAAGGGACATTTTATGAGACATGAGAAACAGAACTCTGGCTGGGGTCAAGTGACCGTTTTTGAAGGTGTGACAGTGGTCCTATGGTTCTGTACAGAAGAGTGCTTTCGAACACATCAGGGTATCAATGGATGGAAAAGATGATGCCTGGGGTTTGCATGAAAATTGCCCATGGTGGGGGTGCCGGTGTGGGTGGGTGGGGTGGTCAGGGCTACAGAGACTGGCCTGAGTTGGTATCTGTTGAACCTAGGTGATGGGTATGTGGGCATTCATTATACTACTTTATCTGCTCTTATTAATCTTTGCAGTTTTCTATAAAAAGTAAAACCAGTGGGCTGAGGAGAGAGGCCTAGCTGTGTGGGAGCAATGGAGACATACCAGTAGTTGGGGGCGGAGAAGACAGTGACGCAGCGGCCGCCATGTGCCACCTCATAGCCCTCGGCCTTGACCTCGTGGCTGCGGATGATGTAGTCTAGGTGGTTCTCCTCCAGGAAGGCCTTGGTGACATCGGGCCCAAACTGGCAGCTCACGCCCCGCTTACTGACCGAGCGTCCGTTCTGGGGAAGACAGGGAGCTCAGGGTGCCTGTCCACCCCCAACTCCTCGCCCACACCTGCTGGCCACGGCTCCCAGGGAAACTGACCTGTGGCTGCGGGTCTGACCAGAGCAGGTCACACATGGGACCTGGAGAGGAGTAGAGGGGAACATCAGGGACTGGCCCACCTGCTTAGGGTGTGTGCCCAAAGACCACCTCCCAGACTGGGTGCGGGCTGGGCAGGAGCTATCCACTGCAGAGGGGACACGGGACACGTAAGATGGGATTCTGAGCTGGCCACAGGACTCTGGTGACTCCCTTCCAGACCCTGGTCAATGCATTACAGCCTCACAGCTAGGCGCTTTCATCGACATTTGGATCAGGTCCCTCTCCTGCTCAGACTTCTGTGGTTCCCACTGCCCAGTGAACAAAGACCAAGCTCCTTGCGCAGGCCTGAGGCCTTGTCAACCCTTTTAAAGCACTTTCTTGCTCACCCCAAACCACCGGCCGCCCGCTGTTTCTCCCACCTGCCAAGCTCCCCCCTGCCTTGGGACCCCCGTGTGCTTGCCCAGGATGCTTCTCTGCACAGCAGGTGTCTCCTCCTCCTTCTGTATCAGCTGTAACGTGGCATCCCCAGGCCACCTGTCATACCACCCCATCCATACTTCCCACAGTTGTGTGCGTGTGTGAGCACACGTATAGGTGTGAATGCTCTGCTGTCTGTCCTGCACTAGAACGGGAGCCCCAATACGTGACTCCAGGTGTCAGCTGAACT